GAGCGGCTGAGGAGAGAAGGCAGGACGGAAGTAAAGCCATCGCTGGTGTAAACCGAGTTGTAACCCGAGTTGTAACCTGAGTTGTAATACGCGCCGTAACCCTCGCGTACACTACGCCATATAGGCCGGAATCATAATCGCAGAACGCCGGACTAGTAGCCGTTGGTCACAGGTCAGGCCTGCTACTGCCCCTTTCAAGCCCAGCATGCCAAAGGCTTCCGCTGCTTGCGCTGCTGCATTCGATGGGCCTCAGACCACGAAATACAATCACTCTTCCCCACGACACCGCGATGGTGGCTGGAATCTTGGTCGCCCGCTCCGCCTGCTTCAAGAGCTTCCGTGCCGGCCGCTGGACTGCGCAATCCTAGTCGCTCCACCTAGAGCATCACATCTCACTGGTGCGAGAGTATGGTGGGTGGAGGAATTCAAAATGTGAAGCCGGGACGAAGCAGGACCCCCATCATTCCCTGGGTGTGCGAGTGAACACAAGATCCAACCGTTGGTTCTATACTTTGACGACGTTGTTACAAGTAGCTATGTTCGCCTTCGAACCAGAGACAAGCTTGGGACAAGCCAGTTTCGTGCTGGGCAGATCTGGGCCCCACGTTTGGATGCTGCGAAGCATTTGGAGCCGCGGAATGTTCTCGTGCCAGATAAGGTTTTGAAGCACATCTGTTCTCGAATTAAAATTTAGCGAAGCATACAGGAACGAAGCATACAGAAACGTGTAGGAAATGGATGTCGGGGCTTGTTACCTGAATTCGATTACAATGTTGAGTCCTGTGTTCTTTGTTCTAAGGGTACATCCGTGGCCAGTGAAAACCGAATTTCGTTTCTAACGGACTGCAGCGTGCTAAACGAACACTCAGCAAATAGCTATGACCCGCCCTTGCATTGTGAAAGCCATGCAGGTGATTCTGTCTTTATTAGCTGTCATGGATACAAAACATAGCAACCCAGGAAACAGGAGGGTTGGGTTTTCGTCACACCCAACAACCAAACTTGTCCTCCATGTCTACCTGCGCCGTGCCTCTTGACTAGGTTCGGGAAGGGATTACGTTGTTGGCTCCCGCACACATGAACCACCTGACCAGATTCCTTGCCTACCTCTGCAATCTCCAGGCTTGGCCTTCCTCCTCTCTTGAGATTGCCGCCAACCTTTCTGCTCTGCTCCTCTGATCGATTCCCCCTAATGTTTTGGCGACACTCTCACAACCAGACTCTGCCATGGTGTTGCCGCGACTCCACGACACCAGTGCTGCTCACGATGTTGGATCATGGAAGTAATGACTTTACGTCTGCTCCCGCTGTCGTGTTGCCTGAGGATTCTTGCCTGGAAGGAAGGGTAGTTCGCCTTCGAGTCGTCGCTTTGTCCTTATCAGACGCAGCTGCACATTCTTTGCCAAACAATGACCGACGATCTTACTTTGTTTCGATAATGCCACTGAAGAACATCAGCGAGTTAGCACCTCTGTGACGTAGCGAGACAGATAGTACTGACTTTATTGCCACTGACTCGGGAACTTAGTGACACAGTGAGTCGGGAACTTCGCGACAGCGTGACACAATCAGTGACCTGGCAATGCACAGCCTGGCGAAGGGGACGAGCCGCGGCCACGTGGCGGTGTGGGTGGTGGAGGTGGTACGAGACAAGGAGGTCAGCAAGGATGTGCTGCTCACCGCTATCGAGGACGCGCACCAATGCGCCTTCCGCGTTGCGTTCAACCTCGTTTCCGTCTTGACCGCCGTCCAGTCGTCCAGTTGAGTTCATGTTTGAGTCGCCTCAAAGGGAGGTCAGCAAAGGACGTGTTGCTAACCTCCATCGAAAGATGTCCATCAATGCGCCTTCCACGTCGCGTTCAACCTCGTTTCCGTCTTGACCGCCGTCCAGTCGTCCAGTTGAGTTCATGTTTGAGTCGCCTCAAAGGGAGGTCAGCAAAGGACGTGTTGCTAACCTCCATCGAAAGATGTCCATCAATGCGCCTTCCACGTCGCGTTCAACCTCGTTTCCGTCTTGACCGCCGTCCAGTCGTCCAGTTGAGTTCATGTTTGAGTCGCCTCAAAGGGAGGTCAGCAAAGGACGTTTTGCTAACCTCCATCGAAAGATGTCCATCAATGCGCCTTCCACGTCGCGTTCAACCTCGTTTCCGTCTTGACCGCCGTCCAGTCGTCCAGTTGAGTTCATGTTTGAGTCGCCTCAAAGGGAGGTCAGCAAAGGACGTGTTGCTAACCTCCATCGAAAGATGTCCATCAATGCGCCTTCCACGTCGCGTTCAACCTCGTTTCCGTCTTGACCGCCGTCCAGTCGTCCAGTTGAGTTCATGTTTGAGTCGCCTCAAAGGGAGGTCAGCAAAGGACGTGTTGCTAACCTCCATCGAAAGATGTCCATCAATGCGCCTTCCACGTCGCGTTCAACCTCGTTTCCGTCTTGACCGCCGTCCAGTCGTCCAGTTGAGTTCATGTTTGAGTCGCCTCAAAGGGAGGTCAGCAAAGGACGTGTTGCTAACCTCCATCGAAAGATGTCCATCAATGCGCCTTCCACGTCGCGTTCAACCTCGTTTCCGTCTTGACCGCCGTCCAGTCGTCCAGTTGAGTTCATGTTTGAGTCGCCTCAAAGGGAGGTCAGCAAAGGACGTGTTGCTAACCTCCATCGAAAGATGTCCATCAATGCGCCTTCCACGTCGCGTTCAACCTCGTTTCCGTCTTGACCGCCGTCCAGTCGTCCAGTTGAGTTCATGTTTGAGTCGCCTCAAAGGGAGGTCAGCAAAGGACGTTTTGCTAACCTCCATCGAAAGATGTCCATCAATGCGCCTTCCACGTCGCGTTCAACCTCGTTTCCGTCTTGACCGCCGTCCAGTCGTCCAGTTGAGTTCATGTTTGAGTCGCCTCAAAGGGAGGTCAGCAAAGGACGTGTTGCTAACCTCCATCGAAAGATGTCCATCAATGCGCCTTCCACGTCGCGTTCAACCTCGTTTCCGTCTTGACCGCCGTCCAGTCGTCCAGTTGAGTTCATGTTTGAGTCGCCTCAAAGGGAGGTCAGCAAAGGACGTGTTGCTAACCTCCATCGAAAGATGTCCATCAATGCGCCTTCCACGTCGCGTTCAACCTCGTTTCCGTCTTGACCGCCGTCCAGTCGTCCAGTTGAGTTCATGTTTGAGTCGCCTCAAAGGGAGGTCAGCAAAGGACGTGTTGCTAACCTCCATCGAAAGATGTCCATCAATGCGCCTTCCACGTCGCGTTCAACCTCGTTTCCGTCTTGACCGCCGTCCAGTCGTCCAGTTGAGTTCATGTTTGAGTCGCCTCAAAGGGAGGTCAGCAAAGGACGTGTTGCTAACCTCCATCGAAAGATGTCCATCAATGCGCCTTCCACGTCGCGTTCAACCTCGTTTCCGTCTTGACCGCCGTCCAGTCGTCCAGTTGAGTTCATGTTTGAGTCGCCTCAAAGGGAGGTCAGCAAAGGACGTGTTGCTAACCTCCATCGAAAGATGTCCATCAATGCGCCTTCCACGTCGCGTTCAACCTCGTTTCCGTCTTGACCGCCGTCCAGTCGTCCAGTTGAGTTCATGTTTGAGTCGCCTCAAAGGGAGGTCAGCAAAGGACGTGTTGCTAACCTCCATCGAAAGATGTCCATCAATGCGCCTTCCACGTCGCGTTCAACCTCGTTTCCGTCTTGACCGCCGTCCAGTCGTCCAGTTGAGTTCATGTTTGAGTCGCCTCAAAGGGAGGTCAGCAAAGGACGTGTTGCTAACCTCCATCGAAAGATGTCCATCAATGCGCCTTCCACGTCGCGTTCAACCTCGTTTCCGTCTTGACCGCCGTCCAGTCGTCCAGTTGAGTTCATGTTTGAGTCGCCTCAAAGGGAGGTCAGCAAAGGACGTTTTGCTAACCTCCATCGAAAGATGTCCATCAATGCGCCTTCCACGTCGCGTTCAACCTCGTTTCCGTCTTGACCGCCGTCCAGTCGTCCAGTTGAGTTCATGTTTGAGTCGCCTCAAAGGGAGGTCAGCAAAGGACGTGTTGCTAACCTCCATCGAAAGATGTCCATCAATGCGCCTTCCACGTCGCGTTCAACCTCGTTTCCGTCTTGACCGCCGTCCAGTCGTCCAGTTGAGTTCATGTTTGAGTCGCCTCAAAGGGAGGTCAGCAAAGGACGTGTTGCTAACCTCCATCGAAAGATGTCCATCAATGCGCCTTCCACGTCGCGTTCAACCTCGTTTCCGTCTTGACCGCCGTCCAGTCGTCCAGTTGAGTTCATGTTTGAGTCGCCTCAAAGGGAGGTCAGCAAAGGACGTGTTGCTAACCTCCATCGAAAGATGTCCATCAATGCGCCTTCCACGTCGCGTTCAACCTCGTTTCCGTCTTGACCGCCGTCCAGTCGTCCAGTTGAGTTCATGTTTGAGTCGCCTCAAAGGGAGGTCAGCAAAGGACGTGTTGCTAACCTCCATCGAAAGATGTCCATCAATGCGCCTTCCACGTCGCGTTCAACCTCGTTTCCGTCTTGACCGCCGTCCAGTCGTCCAGTTGAGTTCATGTTTGAGTCGCCTCAAAGGGAGGTCAGCAAAGGACGTGTTGCTAACCTCCATCGAAAGATGTCCATCAATGCGCCTTCCACGTCGCGTTCAACCTCGTTTCCGTCTTGACCGCCGTCCCATCGTCCAGTTAAAGCTCGCGTCTTATATTTACAAGCTTTTAACACTTGGTTGGTTACGCACGTCCGTGATTGGTTTCGACAGAAATTTACCCCAGCTCGTCACAGATTTCGTCAATCGCTAACCAGTCACGGAGGCCCAAACCCAACCAAGTGTTAAACGGAGAAAATATGAGACGATGGCCCGACTTCCGTCGCTCCGTCTTAGTTCCGTTTTCCGGGCTGGCAACTGAAAAAAGCGTCGTGTCTGAATCTCTCCTTCCGCCGTTCCGTCATCCATTTCATCCAAAAAGCGTCTGTCGCTTATATCTCAACTGCTTATGTAGCTCTCGCTTACGTGTCTGTCGCTTACATGTCAGTTGCTGACGTGTCTGCTCATGGCTCAGTCCAAACGCGTCAACATCAGGCTGACGCTCACCCTTACCACAACCTTCCGCTGCTCCATTCAACCCTTCTCCTCAATCCGCCACCTTTTCTCTTCACCGCCCACAATTTCCCTTTCCCTTTCCACCTTCCCTCCCCCACCCAAATCTTCCTCACGCCTTTCCTCTCTGTGCTACTCCTCGCAGCAGGTGGCGAGCTCCCGATCTCGCAGGCGGACGCGCGGTCGTTGCAGCAGATGGAGAACAACATTTTCCAGAACATCCTCGTGCCTTTCAAGACCTTCTCCGAACGCAAGCATGTGAGCTTCCCATGATTTCCAAGTCGAGGCACTCTGACCATTTCAGCGTGCAGCAGATGGAGAACAACATTTTCCAGAACATCCTCGTGCCTTTCAAAACTTTCTCCGCGCGTATGTAAGCGTCCCAGCTTTTCAATCTCGAATTTAACGATTCTCGTAGAAGCTGCAGATGGAGAGCAGCATTTCCATCCTCCTGCCCTTCAAAACCTTCTCCGAACGCGCGCATGTGAAAATTTGATTTTGAGGTGACTCAGAAAAGAGAGCAGCGTTTGCCAAAACATCCTCGTGCCCGTCAAAACCTTCTCCAAATGCAAGCATGTGAGGGTCCCAATTTCTCCTAGTCGAGTCACTCTAGCAATCTCGTAGATGCCTCAGAGAGAAAACATCATCTTCCATGAAATCCCCGACCCTCTAGATCTATTGTTGTCATGACGTGATGTGATGTAAACGTGATGAGAAATGAGATACATGTTTCGACATGCGAAGCTGTTGTGCCCAATTTCTGCAGCACTACAATACATGCGTGCAAACCTGCTGTATCACATCCCAAGTCGTAAATATCTTATTATACCGCGACTTCCCTACACCATGCATCCCCCACGGCAGATCCCAGCAGCCATGCACGTGGAGAAGAACGACAGGCGGGAGGATGGGCTGGTCCACGTGGCAACCTCCTTCCAGGCCACCCGCCTCTACATCGGCTCCAAGAAGTGCGTACGGTACCCAGCTGTGCGAAAACGCTTCTGAGTGGTTCTGAGTGGTTCAGGTGTGTTTTGAGTCGACTCAAAGCACACCTGGAGGGGTTGGTGCACGTGGCAACCTCCTATATCACCTTTTAGGCAACTCGCCTCTATATCGGTGCCAAGCCAAGAAGTGCGTGCTCATCTCATCATAGTCTACCAGTCACTCCATCTGATGCACGCTGTGCAAAACCGTTCTGAGTGGTTCTAAGTGGTTTTGAGTGGTTGTGTGTGGAGCTGAGCGGTTCTGCGCATGAAGGCACGTTGCCTTACGTGCCCCCATGCCGTCCACACTTCATTCTGCTATTCAATTACAGTGACGTCCTCTCCCCTCCGCACTTCAACTTTCTAACCGACCTCGAAATCTCCCTCCCTGCCCCCTCTAGTCACTTCTTCCTTCCTCCTCTGCTCCGTTCATAGAACTTTTTAATCTTTCACGCTCTCTGCGCCTCCCATCCACACCTCTCGCTCCTTTCCCAGGAAGCTCTTTGGAAAGTCGTCCCACGTGCCTGACTACTGCAGCGGCCACCTACCAGACACATGCACGCTCATTTTGTTCCTCTTTCTCCCTCTCCTCCCTTTATAACACGTTGGAAACTTAATACCTTCTTCTCGCCCCTACCTTCCCTGTCACTCTCTCTCCCCTCCCAGGAAGCTCTTTGGCAAGTCGTCCCAAGTGCCTGACTACTGCAGCGGCCACCTACCAGACACCTGCACGCTCATTGTCGTGCAGGGAGGCCGCAAGATCAGAGAGGCGCCAGGCGCCGCCGGCCCCCCTCCCAACCTGCCCGCCCGCTCCGCCCGCCACAGCAACCCTCCTCTCCCCCAGCAGCAAGCCCAGCGCGCCGAGCCCTCACTCTCACACCCCTCCGGGCCCTCCCAGTACGGCCAAGCTCCTGGCCCCCTGTATCCCCTCCAGCAGCAGACGCAGTGGGCTCAGGCTCAGCCGCCCCAGCAAGCCCAGCGCGCCGATCCCTCACTCCCCTCCGGGCCCTCCCCATATGGCCAAGCTCCTGGCCCGCAGTATCCTCTCCAGCAGCAGACGCAGTGGGCTCAGCCGCCGCTGCAAGCCCAGCACCCCTCCTCACAGATCCACACCCCAACTCCCCAGTACCCTCCCCAGCAGACGCAGCGTGCCCTGCCGCCCCTGCAAGCCCTCCCAGGGCAGCAGCAGGGTCAGCAGGGGCAGCAGGGGCAGCAGGGCCAGCAGGGGCAGCAGCAGGGTCAGCAGGGTCAGCAGCAGGGGCAGCAGCAGGGTCAGGGATTTCTGCCTCGGGCTGGCAGTGGTAACGGGTCGGATGGCACCCCTGCTGTTTATGCCGACGCTGGTGCAGCTGCTGCAGGGGGCTCGTCGCAGGTGTCTAGCGCGCTCAGCTCGCCCACACAGAGCCCTCCTCTCTCCCCGCCCTCCCGCTCCGCCTATACCAGTATCTGTGACTCTGCTGCTGCTGCTGCTGCTGCTGTCTCCCCTGCTGGTGTTGTTTCTCCCTGGGGAATGGGAGGCGGTGTGAATGGGTTAGGAGGGATGGGTGGCATGGGTGGTATGCCTGGCGTTGGTGGCATGAATGCAATGGGTGTCATGAGTGGATTGAGTGGCATGGATGGCATGGGCGGCATGGGCACCATGAACGGCATGGGCGGCGGCATGGGCGGCGGCATGGGTGGCGGCATGGGCGGCATGGGCAGCATGAACGGCATGGGTGGCATGGGTAGCATGGGCGGATTCGGTGGCGGCATGGGTGGCATGGGCGGCATGGGCGGCATGGGTGGCATGGGCGGCATGAACGGCATGGCCGGCATGGGCGGTATGGCCGGCATGGGCGGTATGGCCGGCATGGGCGGTATGGGTGGCATGGGGGGTATGGGCGGCATGGGCGGTTTCCCAGCTTCTTCTTCTCTTGGTGCCCCTGCTCTCACCCATCTTTCCTCGAGCACCGCTGACAGCCATAGCCCTGGCACTTCCTCCCTTCCCGGATTCACCACAAATCCCACCTCCATGGGTACTGGAGCTGCTGCGGCAGGCGGTTTCCCGAACCAGGGGATGCTTCCAGGCTCGGGAACAGACTCGGGGTCAGGTTCGGGAGGACCAGGCGGCCATGCGGAGGGGGCGCATTGGAATGTGTACAGGCAGATGCTAAGGGCGCAGCATACGCAGCTGCAGCACAACCAGCAGCAGCATCAGCAGCTGCTGCAGCAGCAGCAGCAACACAACCAGCAGCAGCAGCAGCAGCAGCAGCAGCAGCAGCAGCAGCAGCAGCAGCAGCAGCAGCAGCAGCAGCAGCAGCAGCAGCAGCAGCAGCAGCAGCAGCAGCAGCAGCATGCAGGAGGGAAGCAGGCAGGAATGGTTTCTCCAGAAAGAGTATTCCCTGCTGTCACACGCTCTGGGATTACCACTGGTGCTGCTGCCGCTGCTTCTGCGGCTGCTGCGGCTGCGGCTGCAGGGATGGCAAGAGATGGCAGTGTGGGCAGCAGCAGCACAGGGAGCACTGCGGAATACCCTCTGTCAAGGGTGGACTCTGCACCCGGGCCTCCCCGCCAGCCGTCCCCCTTGGGCGGACAGCCCTCTGCTCACGACAGCAGCAGCAGTAACAACCACGCGAACAGCCACACCATCCCGCACGCCAGCTCTCATGCCAATGGTCTTGCAAGCGCAGCAACAGCAACGGGAGGAGCAGGAACGGGAGGAACAGCAGCATCAGGAGCAGCAGCAGCAGGAGCAGCAGCAGCAAGGGCATTCCACGTGCCAGATTGCGCCCCTGTGACGCGCACCAGCAGCGGCGGCAGTGTTGGCAGTCGAGGCAACCCCAGGGCGTATGGCACTCTCACTGCCTCCCGCCACCACCCCTCCACCCGCATGGGCGCCCCTATGCCCATCCCAGGGAGGGTTTCTCCTGCTCTTGATGCAGCAGACGCTGGGGCGGTAGTGGCTGCCCAGCAGCAGCAGCAGCAGCAGCAGCAGCAGCAGCAACAGCAGCAGCAGCAGAGGCAGCAAATGGTTGAGTCGAGTTTGAGGTCTGGGAGGGTTTCGTCTGCTGGTGAGGCTGATATTGGGGCGGCAGTGGCAGCGACGCAGCCGCAGAGGCAGCAGGGAGAGCAGCACGCGGGGCAGCAGGCAGGGCAGCAGGCAGGGCAGCAGGTGGGGCAGCAGGTGGGGCAGCAGGACGTTCATTCAGTGATGAGGCTGCACCAGCATCAGCAGATTGATCAGATGGACATGTTTCGCATGCACCAGCAGGCTCAGCTCGCGTTTCACCTGCAGCAGCAGCAGCAGCAGCAGCTGCTGCAGAGCCGAGCGGAGCAGAAGACCCAGCAGCAGACAGAGAAAATGGAACAGCCACAGCAAGCACAGCACGCACAGCCAGCGCAGTACACGCAGCAGGCACAGCAGCCGCAGCAGGTGAGGAGGGCAAGCACAATGCCTGGCAACGCTGCAGATGCCGCAATGGCTGTATCCACCCTCGGGGTTACTTCCAGTGACACCCCCTCTGCTCCCCCTTCCGCAGCACCATCGGTGCCGGTCACAGCCCCATCCCCCTCTGCTGCTGCTGTTGCTAAGGTTGGCTCCTCAGTCCCTGGACCCGCGTGCACTGCCAACTTCAGCAGCAGCAGCTGCAGCAGCAGCAGCAGCAGCAGGCAGTCAGCAGCGCATACTGACCCACCACCAGTAGTAGTACCTGTGATGGTAGGAGCAGGGAGTGATGCAGGATTAGCAGGAGGAGCATGGACAGCAGGGGCAGCAGGGGCAGCAGGGGCCGCAGGGACAGCAGCAGAAGTAGGGGGAACAGCAGCAGGAGCGGCAGCTGGTAGAGCAACCAGTAGCACCGGTTCTGAAACTGCAACTGGTGCTTCCCTTTCACCGCCTCCTCCTCCCAGCGACCCAGCAGCAGCAGCAGCGGCAGCGCACATGCAAGCTCAAATGGGCATGGGCATGGGCATGGGTATGGGTATGAATCCCTTTGGCTGGCCCTACATGAACCCATACATGGGCATGGGCATGGGCATGGGTGGTGGTATGATGGGAGGACGGGGGATGCCTATGGGGCAAACGGGTATGACGGGGGGAATGGGAGGGATGGGTGGAATGGGTGGGGGTTTCCCTATGCTCGACTCTGCTACCTCTGCTTCTTCAACTTCTGCTGCCTCCTCTTCTGCTGCTGCCTCCTCTGCAGCAGCAGCAGCAGCTGGTGGTGGGTATGGCATGCCAGGCATGGGACACGCAGGCATGGGATTTCCTGGCATGCCTCCTGGGTTTGGCTTTGGCGGAGCTCCCTTTGATTTCACAGAGCTCCTAGCCGAACTGGCTCGGCTGCAAGAGCAGGCTCGGGCAGCCCAGCTTGCTGCCGAACGAGCCGACCAGCAGGCTCGGGAGGCTCGGGAGGAGGCTCGGATGGCCCTGGAGAACGCCCGAGCCGAATCCCAGCGGCGCTTAGAAGCTGAACTGGAAAAGGAATTAGCTAAGCGTCAGGCGGAGGAGGAGGCAAAACGGGCAGCGGCGGCAAAAGAGGAAGCGGCTGAGGCGAAAAGGGCCGCGGCAGAGGCAGCAGCATCAGCTGCGGCCACTCTGGTGAAAGCGCAGGAGGAATATGCGTTAGAACGGGGGGTGAAGAAGCAGCAGGAGTTCCGGCAGTACACTATAGAGGAACTGGAGGCAGCTTGTAACGGATTCAGTGAGGAGAACCTGGTGGGGGAGGGCGGGTACGGATCAGTGTATAAGGGCATGCTGGAGCACTTCCCTGTGGCTGTGAAGGTGCTCAAGAATGCCCAGACCAATCAAGCTCTTAAGGAATTCAAGAAAGAGGTGCGCTCCCTACACAGTGTGAACACGTTTCTGTGCCAGTGTTGAGTTGTCTGGGTGAGCTGGGAGAATGGGCACTGGTAGTTTTTAAGGCGCCTCAAAGATGAGTTGGGAGTGGGTCAGTGTAAAAGGGCATGCTGCAGCACTTCCCTGTGGCTGTGAAGGTGCTAAACGCCCAAACCAACCAGGCGCTTAAAGAGTTCAAAAAGAGGTGTGTTCCCTGCAGCACTGTGTGAGTGTCTATCTGTGCTGAGGTTTCTTAGTGAGCCGAAGATAGAGGTGGGCACACCGTACCATACCATACCATCATGCTGCTGATTGTGGGCAACCTGCTGTGCCTCGTGTACTTAGGAGTACATGCCATGCCACAGGGCTCGCTCTGCTCTGCTCTACCTGTTTGCTGAGCCACTGTGTACGTGTACATGCCATGCCTCGTGTACGGGCACATGCCATGCCATGCCCCCTGCCTCGTGTACGAGTACATGGCATGCCACAGGGCTCGCTCTGCTCTACCTGTTTGCTGAGCCACTGTGACTCCTGAGACACACCAACCATACAGATACCGACTGACAAGTGCTGGCTGGATCTCTGGAAAACCCCTCTTTGCCCCCAACCCTGCCCTCCCCTCCCTTCCCCACATCCCCTCCCAATCCCCCGCAGATGGAGGTGCAGAGGGGCCTGCGGCACCCCACCATAGTGCTGCTGATCGGGTGCTGCCACAACCCGCCGTGCCTCGTGTACGAGTACATGCCTCAGGGCTCACTCTACGACAGCCTCCTCTGCGACCTCCTGCTATGCCATCACAGCTCTGGGAGCAGGATCAACGACGTGCCTACCAACTGACCCATGCGTGCTTGTTGGCTCTCTCAGACTCCCCTCCTCTCCCCGAACGCGCATTCCCCTCTCCCAACAGGTGGAGGTGCAGAGGGGGCTGCGGCACCCCACCATAGTGCTGCTGATCGGGTGCTGCCACAACCCGCCCTGCCTCGTGTACGAGTACATGCCACAGGGCTCGCTCTACGACCGGTTGCTCTGTGACCGCGGCTCCCCGCCCCTGCCGTGGAACGTGCGGTTTGAGATCTTTGAGAACATGTGCAAGGCGCTCATCCACCTGCACAACCGGTGAGTTTTGAGCTCGCCCTTCCCCCGATGTATGCTCGTTTAGGTGATGCTTGCTGCTGTGCTGTGGGCTAGAGGCTCCCCTCCTCGCCCCTGCCCTGGAACGTGCGGTTTGAGATCTTTGAGAACATGTGCAAGGCGCTCATCCACCTGCACAACCGGTGAGTTTTGAGCTCGCCCTTCCCCCGATGTATGCTCGTTTAGGTGATGCTTGCTGCTGTGCTGTGGGCTAGAGGCTCCCCTCCTCGCCCCTGCCCTGGAACCGTGCGGTTTGAGATCTTTGAGAACATGTGCAAGGCGCTCATCCACCTGCACAACCGGTGAGTCCTGAAGGCCGTTTCACTCTGGGTGGATGTTGCTTCATTAGGTGATGATTGCTGCTGAGTGCTTGGTGAGATGATTTTTGCTGCTGTGTTGTGGGGATGGACTACGGCTGCTCCTGCATGCAGCAGTCCATGGCTGGCCGGCTGTCGACACATTTGATTCCCGAGGCGCCTCATGCCCCCCCTCGTTTTCCCCATGCCATCCCTTCCCCCGCAACCCCCCCTTCTTCCTTCCCACCCCCTTCTCTTCCCCCCTCTCTCCAGTGTACCTGCCATAGTCCACTTGGACCTGAAGCCAGCTAACGTCCTCCTAGACAACAACTTCGTGGCTAAGCTAGGAGACGTGGGGCTAGCTCGTTTCCTGGTGGGGATGGACAACGGGCGCTCCTTCATGCAGCAGTCCATGGCCGTCGGCACCTTCGGCTACGTGGACCCGCACTTCCTCCGCACCGGCCAGTTTTCCCGCGAGTCCGACGTGTATTCCCTCGGAATGGTCATGCTCGATATGCTGATAGGCATCAATGAGACGTCGGGGGAACGGGGGAAGAGGGACAGGGAGTTGGAGGCGTTGGAGGAGTGTGAGGAGTGCGGGGATCTGGAGGCGTTGGGTGAGCTGCTGGATCCGTCCGCTGGGTGCTGGCCGCCACGTGTCGTGCTGCGGTTGGTGCAGCTGGTGCGGCAGATGGCGCATTATAAGAGGAAGGCTCGGCCGGACCTGAGCAAGCAGGTGATGATGGGGGTAATGGGGGTGGGGGTGGTGGTGGTGGTGGGGGTGAGGACCCCTGGGACCTCACGTTCGTGTATCGTGGCCGGACCTGAGCAAGCAGGTGATGATGCTGGTAGGGGTGGTGGGGGTAGCGCGGTGGTGGTGGTGGTGGTGGTGGTGGTGGTGGTGGTGGTGGTGGTGGTGGTGGTGGTGGTGGTGGTGGTGGTGGTGGTGGTGGTGGTGGTGGTGGTGGTGGTGGTGGTGGTGGTGGTGGTGGTGGTGGTGGTGGTGGTGGTGGTGGTGGCGGCGGCGGCGGCGGCGGCGGCGGCGGCGGCGGCGGCGGCAGCGCTGACAGACATGTGCTGACCTGGCTGACCTCATTCCACCCCTCCCAATCTCTCTCCACCTACCCACCTTATTCTCTCTGTGCGTGCAGGTGATAGTGGTGGTGGATGAGCTGCGCCCCTACGTGGATGCAGCAGTGGCTCTTGAGAGGTCCGACCTGACCTCTTTCCATCCCTTCCCATCTCTCTCCACCCCACTCATTCTCTGTGCGTGCAGGTGATGGTGGTGGTGGATGAGTTGCGCCCATACGTGGATGCGGCAGTGGCGCTAGAGAGGGCAGACCACATGGATGACTACCGGGACTTCGTTCCCAACGAGTTCCGATGCCCAATTACTATGGTACGTGCATGTCTCATCACCATGGTTATTAGTACATACATACATGCATGGACGTGCATCGCTGTGCCAGAGAGGGCAGACCGCATGGATGACTACCGGGACTTTGTTCCCAACGAGTTCCGATGCCCCATCACCATCACCATTGGTGCCCCAACACCATGGTACGTGCATGTGCATCGGTGACCCATCACCATGGTAGGATAGGATGCTTGCCTCATCACCATTGTATGTGCACCACCCCCCCCTCTGCTCCCCCACCCCCCGCTGCTCCTCTGGCAGGGCATCATGGAGAACCCAGTGCTGGCAGCAGAACAACGCGTATTCCCCATCTTGCCCCAATCCTCCCCCCCCATACTCCCCGCATCTTCCCTCCCTCCTCCTCCTCCCATGGAGAATCCAGTACTGGCAGCGGACGGGCACACGTACGAGAGGGAGGCCATAGAGCAGTGGCTGCGCGTGCACTCCAACTCGCCCAAGACAGCACAGCACTCCCTTGTCTTGCCCCCCCCCAACCTACCACCCACCTCAGCACATCACCCAATACATGTCCCTGATTCACTCCCCTTTTTATCAGCCCCACTTCTCACGCTCATTTTCCTTCTCCCTCTCCCCTCCTCCCTTCTCTCATCCCATCAGGGCATCATGGAGAACCCAGTACTGGCAGCGGACGGGCACACGTACGAGAGGGAGGCCATAGAGCAGTGGCTGCGCGTGCACTCCACGTCGCCCAAGACTGGGCGGCGGTTGGAAAGCAAGGCGCTGACAGACAACATTGCCGTGCGATCCATGATTGCCGAGTGGCTGGAGCACCGGCTGCAACAGAGAGAGTGAGTATCTTTCAATTTTGCTGGCAGGATATCCGTTTGTGCTTGCCTTTTCTTGCTTCTGGGCTTCCGTACCAGGCTAGACAGCAAGACGCTCCATGATTGCCGAGTGGCTGGAACACCAGCTGCAAAGGAGAGAGTGGGTGTTGCTGTTGGCCCTGTCTGACGGATTGAGGGGGGAGGTTCTTGCCTTGCGTTGCTTGCTTCCGGAATGCCTCATCAGAAGGTTACCCCTTCCTTATTCACTCCCTCCCCCCCACTTCTCCTCTCCCCCCCCCTCCCAACATATTTACTTGCGCTCAAGGTCACATAATCTTGAGAGCCTGATGAGTGGCGAGCAAGTAGACGGTTACCACCCGCGCGGTTACGCTGATTCACGTGACATGCCTCTCCATGGCGCAGGGGGCTTGCACATGCAAGCAGGGCAGCCAGGGTCCTATGAAGGCGGGGGTGCTGCATCAGGGGATTACATTGGCAGTGATGATGTAGCCAGCGGTGGTTTTGCTGGTGGTGGGGAGCTTTATAGAGAGACCAGGAAAGGAGGAGGGGTGTATGCTGGGGGGGATTATTTGGAGAGGTTGAGAGGGGGATGTAGGGTGGTGGAGGAGGGGAGTGAGTGGGACGAGGAGGAGGAAGAGGAGGGTGAGGGTGGGATGATGCGTCCTGTAGTGGAGGGGTGTGGGGGAGGGCATATCCAACCTGATGCAGCTTCAGAGGACGAGTCAGTTCAAGGAGAATTGAGGCGGAGATAGCATGGTGGACAATATGAGTTACAGCAGATGTGTGAACAAAAATAGGGTTCAATATGGAGTGGGAGTCGTCAATACAGGATTGGTTTGATTTCTTCACGGTCCTTTTGGTTTGGACTGTTGTATATGCTGTCAACTGTAGTCCAATTGTGTGGTGGTGGAGTACCATCCCTAGTTTTTTTGCCTGTCTGATTTCTCAGACGGTAGGATAGTGGATCTTACCGTCAGGCAATGGAGCTAGGCTTACTGTAAAGTTTGGAGAATCTGAAACAAAATTCGGATTTTTGTAAAATCATTAGCATTTTCACTCTTGTCTGCATAGAAATATGTGACATCAATGATAATTGCACATTGCCCATTGTGTTGTCACGTAATCATCAGCAGAAACGGAGATCAGCTAGAAAAGTCACTGGCCGGCTTGGGCCCAGTCCGAGCTGCTCGAATCTCGTCTCACAATTTTGGTCCGAGGCTGGTCCGAACCGAAACTGGTCCCTCGGATGATCCCAAGGATGCGTGTGAAGTGCAGGGAAGTTGAATTGCTTCGAGTTGAAGTGAATCACACGTCAAGCACCACACCTAGGTTGAGTGCAATCGATTTTTATGCACACTATGGTACGCTTTGTTCGTTTCACCGCTTTCAATCAGTCACTCCACTCACCAGCCTGGATAGCGCGACACGGTGTGCACATAAATCGTGAATCACACGAAGCTTGACCCTCCATATGGTAATCTCCAAGTCGTCCTCGACATTGCAAGCACAGTTATCCGTCTGCAGAGGCTTCTGAGTTTCGCGTCGGCCTTCCTGCTCGCAGCTTTCAGTTGGGTTGCTTCGAATTGCCTTGAACTGGCTTACGCGCGGCTGTCTTTTGTTGCACGTCGTTAGCGGAGGATTTTGAACCAAGTCGTTAGTACTTCGATTCTGAGCCGACCCTAGTAAACGCGCGTCGTTAGCAACGAGCCAGCATGGAAAGCGACTGGAGCGGCGCCGGCGGAGGTGGCGGCGGCGGCATGCGCCAGCAAGCAGCACCGGCGGAGCCTGACTGGCGCACGCGCCTCCCGCGGGAGAAGCGGCAAATTCTGGTGAAGCGAATGTGCGTTTGCTTTCTGGCGCACCGATTTTTGTGAAGCGAATGTGCGTTTGCTTTCTGGCGCGCCGATTTTTGTGAAGCGAATGTAGGACTTTTTCACCATGACGTCATCAGGCTCGCTGTTATTGCACTATAGGTTCGCTGTTGTAGCAAGCATGGATTGTCATGTGCGTGCAGAACGGAGAGAGCCATTCGGAGACCCAGTTCGCTTCGCATGTGGAATAGCCGCAGAGTCCACTATGACGTCATCAGGCTCTGCTGTCATCAGATTTCCTGCTATCCGCCATGACGTCATCAGATGTCATGTTATTTGATTATGGCGTCATCAGATATGCAGCAACCCACCCACCGTGGTGTGTTGTCATCCGCTTTGCTGCTATTCCACTAAGACTATGGATTCTTGTTTGTGTGCAGATTGGGACGAAAGAGTCTCTTAAAAACCCACGACAACCGTGGACAGAGTGACTTTGTATTGCCTCTCTTGACTCCGAGTTCTACCATCTCTCTCTCCCCTCTCACTCCCTCTCTCTTCCCCTCCACCACGCATGCAGAATGGAGAGTCTGCAGAACTTCACATTGGCTCCCGACCTGAACGAGCTGCAACGTGTCGCTGCATCGTTCAAGCAGCACTGTGCCCCATCTTACTAACTAACCCTATCTATCCAGCTTTGTGCTGTTCCTCGCCCGCCCTACTGAGCCACACCCTGCCCGATCTGACTAACCCTATCCCTCTCCCTCTCCCTCTCCCTCTCCCTCTCCCTCTCCCTCTCCCGTGCGAGCAGAATGAAGAGTCTACAGAAGTTCACATCAGCTCCCGACATGAACGAGCTGCTTTTTTCTGAGTCGACTCAAGAAAACAGCTCTCGTTCTCCCTCTTTCTCTCTCCCCCTCCGCCGCCCACCACACTGTGCAGAATGGAGAGTCTACAGAAGTTTACATCAGCGCCCGACATGAATGAGCTGCACCGCGTTGCTGCATCGTTTGAGCAAAAGATCTTCTCAACGGCCACCAATCAGGTGCGAGCAAGCAACGGCCACCAATCAGGTGCAAGCAAGCGACGTTTTCATTCGACTCAAAATTGGTCAGAGCAGATGATTTTCTCAGTGCGCATGAATCAGGTGCGGCCTGGCAATGCACAATGGTGATTTTTGAGTCGACTAAAAAATCGGCTCACCACACACTGCTGATCCTAAGCACTGCTGCTCACTGGGAGATATGTCACATGAATGAGGTGCGGCCTGGCAATGCACAATGGTGTGTGCAGCGATTTGGATGCTGCTGCCATGCCACTGAGTGCCTACCCACGCACTCGGATAGTACAGCACATGCAGACAGAGTACCCACAGGCGCACAGGAGCTGCTGTTTCAGATGCTACCAACCTAGTCCTAGTGCATACCCACCAACTTGTACACACCACACCACCCACAGGGGCACAGTGTAGTCGATTTGCTACATGGCACTTTCTTGTTTGTTTGTTTTTTTTTTTTTTTTTTTTTTTTTTTTCTCTTCCGTTCTTCCCCTCTCTCCTCCTGCTCGTCTTGAAGCTCTAGCGCCGTCCCCGCTTTTCCTTTCCCCCTTCCCCCGTTGGTGGACCTCTCGTTCCCCCAATGTGCCCCCTTCCCACGGACCTCAGGACGCATATCCCAGAAGATGCTGGACATCAAATCAGGAGCAAGCAAGGGCCACGCTGCAGGCTGCAAGGCGGATGAGCTTTCTGCCTCCCAGCCCTCAGCACCACTCACTCTCCCCCGGTGTTTACCCCTCGCCCCGCCTTCCGCCTCCCTCCAACCTCAGGACGACTACCTGTGGCGCATATCCCAGGAGATGCTGGACATCAAGAGCAAGGGGCGCATGTTGCAGGCTGCAAGGCGGATCAGCCTTTTCCCTCCGAGGCCTCAGTACCACTCACCCTCTCGCCCCTAATGTTCTGTGCCCCTTAAACCAACCTCACGATGACTACTTGTGGCCCATATCCCAGAAGATGATGCACATCAAGAGCAAGGGGCACATGCTGCAGGCTGCAAGGCGGATCAGCCTTTTCCCTCCGAGGCCTCAGTACCACTCACCCTCTCGCCCCTAATGTTCTGTGCCCCTTAAACCAACCTCACGATGACTACTTGTGGCCCATATCCCAGAAGATGATGCACATCAAGAGCAAGGGGCACATGCTGCAGGCTGCAAGGCGGATCAGCCTTTTCCCTCCGAGGCCTCAGTACCACTCACCCTCTCGCCCCTAATGTTCTGTGCCCCTTAAACCAACCTCACGATGACTACTTGTGGCCCATATCCCAGAAGATGATGCACATCAAGAGCAAGGGGCACATGCTGCAGGCTGCAAGGCGAATCAGCTTTTTCCCTCCGAGGCCTCAGTACCGCTCACCCTCTCTCCCCTAAATTTCTGTGCCCCTTAAACGAATCTCAGGATGACTACTTGTGGCGCATATCCCAGAAGATGCTGTACATCAAGAGCAAGGGGCACATGCTGCAGGCCCAGGCGGCAGGGGGCACGAGCTCCCAGGCGTCTGCCGGGTCTGTTGCCACTGGCGGGATGACCGCTGATGCATGTAAGTGTGTTTGTGTGTGGGGGTGGTGGATGTAAGGAGTGAATTGATGCATGTAAAGAGTGTGTGTGATAGGTTTTGAGTAAACTCAAAAGTCTTATTTCGAGCTCCCAGCTGCAGGGTCTGTTGCCACTGGCGGGATGACCGCTGATGCATGTAAGTGTGTTTGTGTGTGGGGAGGTGGATGGAAGGAGTGAATTGATGCATGGAAGGAGTGAATTGATGTTGAAGGCGTTGGTCGTGTGCACGTGCACGTGCGTGTGCGTGGGCGTGAGCACGTGTGTGATGGATGTAATGTAAGGAGTGAGTGTTGGTCGTTTTCGAGTTAACTCAAAGTCTTACTTTGAGCTTCCAAACGGTCACATAGGTTCATTCCATAGGGCATGTATCACAAGCATTCCTTACATGCATCACATCAGTCAGTCACACTCACAGTCACACTTACAGTCACGCACTCACGCGCATGCGTGCGTGCGTGCGCGTTTGCGTTTGCGTGTGCGCGTGGGCGTGAGCGTGGGCGTGGGCGTGGGCGTGAGCGTGGGCGTGGGCGTGGGCGTGGGCGTGGGCGTGCGCGTGGGCGTGAGCGTGGGCGTGAGCGTGGGCGTGAGCGTGGGCGTGGGCGTGGGCGTGGGCGTGAGCGTGTGCGTGTGCGTGTGCACGTTTTCGAGTCGACTCAAAGTCTTACTTTGAGCTTCCAAACGGTCACATAGGTTCCTTCCATAGGGCATGTATCACAAGCATTCCTTACATGCATCACACACTTACATGCATCACACACTTACATGCATCACACACTTACATGCATCACACGTTTACATGCATCACACGCTTACATGCATCACACACTTACATGCATCACACACTTACATGCATCACACGCTTATATGCATCACACACTTACATGCATCACACACTTACATGCATCACACACTTACATGCATCACACACTTACATGCATCACACACTTACATGCATCACACACTTACATGCATCACACGCTTACATGCATCACACACTTACATGCATCACACACTTACATGCATCACACACTTACATGCATCACACACTTACATGCATCACACACTTACATGCATCACACACTTACATGCATCACACACTTACATGCATCACACACTTACATGCATCACACACTTACATGCATCACACGCTTACATGCATCACACACTTACATGCATCACACGCTTACATGCATCACACACTTACATGCATCACACGCTTACATGCATCACACACTTATATGCATCACACACTTACATGCATCACACACTTACATGCATCACACACTTACATGCATCACACACTTACATGCATCACACACTTACATGCATCACACACTTACATGCATCACACGCTTACATGCATCACACACTTACATGCATCACACACTTACATGCATCACACACTTACATGCATCACACACTTACATGCATCACACGCTTACATGCATCACACGCTTACATGCATCACACACTTACATGCATCACACGCTTACATGCATCACACGCTTACATGCATCACACACTTACATGCATCACACACTTACATGCATCACACACTTACATGCATCACACACTTACATGCATCACACACTTACATGCATCACACGCTTACATGCATCACACGCTTACATGCATCACACGCTTACATGCATCACACACTTACATGCATCACACGCTTACATGCATCACACACTTACATGCATCACACACTTACATGCATCACACACTTACATGCATCACACACTTACATGCATCACACACTTACATGCATCACACGCTTACATGCATCACACGCTTACATGCATCACACACTTACATGCATCACACACTTACATGCATCACACGCTTACATGCATCACACGCTTACATGCATCACACGCTTACATGCATCACACACTTACATGCATCACACGCTTACATGCATCACACGCTTACATGCATCACACACTTACATGCATCACACACTTACATGCATCACACGCTTACATGCATCACACGCTTACATGCATCACACACTTACATGCATCACACACTTACATGCATCACACACTTACATGCATCACACACTTACATGCATCACACACTTACATGCATCACACGCTTACATGCATCACACGCTTACATGCATCACACGCTTACATGCATCACACGCTTACATGCATCACACACTTACATGCATCACACACTTACATGCATCACACACTTACATGCATCACACACTTACATGCATCACACACTTACATGCATCACACGCTTACATGCATCACACACTTACATGCATCACACGCTTACATGCATCACACGCTTACATGCATCACACACTTACATGCATCACACACTTACATGCATCACACACTTACATGCATCACACACTTACATGCATCACACACTTACATGCATCACACGCTTACATGCATCACACACTTACATGCATCACACGCTTACATGCATCACACAGCATAAGATTCACTCACCCCATACCTCCCTCGTCTCCATTTCCAGCCAACATGAGCTATCCCCAGCAGCAGCAACAGCCAGGTCAACCGGGTCAACCCAGTCAACCAGGTCAACTGGGTCAGCCGCAACAGGCAATGCGACCAGGAGGGCCGATGATGGGGCAGCAGCAGCAGCCAGGCGCCATGGCTCCTAGCGGCTCTCTTACAGGCCCAGGGGGGATGGGCGCTCCTGTGCAGCCTGGTGCTGGCATGGGGGGACCCGGGGGGGTGAGGCAGCTGCCTCAGAGTAATCTGTCTATGGGGGGTAGTGGTCAAGTGCAGGGGGGTGGGCCGATGCAAGTGGTTGGGGGGCAGCAGCAGCAGCCGGGGCAGATGCAGCAGCAGGGAGGGCAGATGCAGCAGCAGCAGCAGCAGCAGCGAATGATTATGATGCAGCAGCAGCAGTTGCGGCAGCAGCAGCAACAACAGCAACAGCAGCAGCAGCCAGTAGCACTGCAGCAGCAGCAGCAGCCACCGCAGCAACAGCTGCCAGCTCAGGCACAGCAGCAGCAGCAGCAGCAGATGGGGGGGACGATGCAGCCACAGCAGGTGCAGCAGCAGCAGGGGCCTAGCAGCATGATGCAGCAGCCTGGTGGGCTTATGAACCGCACTCAACCCATGCCTCTCCAGCAGCAGCAGCAGCAGCAGCAGCAGCAGCCAGTGCAGCAGCAGCAGTTTGGAGGGCAGCAGGCGCAGAGAATTCAGCACAGCCCAAGTCCAGTGCCTGTTGCATTGCAGCAGCAGCAGCAGCAGGGCATGCCAATGCAGCAGCAGCCGCCACAGCAGCAGCAACAGCTGCAGCAGCAGCAGCCTGTGCAGCAGACAATGGGAGGGCAGATGGGTCAGCAGCAGATGACTCTGCCCCAACAACAGAGCCAGCCAATGCAGCAGCAGGTTCAGCAGCCGATGCAGCAGCCTCAGCAGCAGGGAGCACAGCAGCAGCAGGGCATGCAAGCCCAGGCAGGGGCAATGCAGCAGCAGCAGCAGCAGCAGCAGCAGCAGCAGGCGGGTCAGCAGTCAGCAGTGCCGCAGCAGGGGGGGATATCCGACACCGTGTGGCAGAAGGTGCGCTTCTCACCCTCCCCTTCTCCCTCCTCCTTTCTCCCTCTTCCTTCCCTGTGCTGTTTATTGTGCTCACTCCCCTCCCTTCCCTCCACCTTCTCTCCCCCTTCCCTCCTCCCGCCAGCTGCAAGGCATCAAGGCGAGCTACCTGAAGGACATGAAGGAGATCCACAGCTTCCTTGTTATGAAGAGCCAGCAGGTGGGTAGAGGCGAGGCGAGGCGAGTAGAGTAGAGTAGAGGAGAGGAGAGGAGAGGAGAGGAGAGGAGAGGAGAGGAGAGGAGAGGAGAGGAGAGGGGAGGGGAGGGGAGGAGAGGGGAGGGGAGGGGAGGGGAGGGGAGGGGAGGAGAGCAGAGGAGAGGGGAGGAGAGCAGCAGGTGGGTAGAAGCTCGGAGATGAGATGAGAGGAGGGTGAGGCGAGGAGAGGAGATGAGAAGGTGAAGGAAGAAGAGGTAACACTTTTGTTCGCATTTTGTTTCCATTCTTGATGCCTCTTGATGCCTCTTGATGCCTCTTGATGCCTACAGCGAGCTCTCCTTCAGCACCTCTTTGTGGAAGTCTTGATTGTTTCTTTGTTTGTTTGTTGATAAACCTTTCAAAACGAATCTTCTTGACACTCCCTACATGTGCACGTGTGTGTTTGTTTTTTGTGCAGCTGCAGAAGATGGTACCGGAGCAGCAGGAGCGACTGAAACACTACAAGGACATCTTATATCGAATAATTCCTTATCTGAGTGTGCCTAGAGATAAAGTGCCCCCTCAGTTTACGATTGAGAAAGTCGAGCAACTTGAGAGGCAGATTATTCAGATTCTTGAAACCTTCAAGAAACGGCGGCCCCCTCAGCAGCAGCAGCAGCAGCAGCAGCAGCAGCAACAGCAGCAGCAGCAGCAGCAGCAGCAGCAGCAGCAGCAGCAGCAGCAGCAGCAGCAGCAGCAGCAGCAGCAGCAGCAGCAGCAGCAGCAGCAGCAGCAGCAGCAGCAGCAGCAGCAGCAACAGCAACAGCCGCAGCAGCAGCAGCAACAACAGCAGCAACAGCAGCAGCAGCAGCAGCAGCAGCAGCAGCAGCAGCAGCAGCAACAGCAACAGCAACAGCAGCAGCAGCAGCAGCCACAGCAGCAGCAACAGCAACAGCAGCAGCAACAGCAACAACAGCAGCAGCAACAACATCAACAGCAGCAGCAACAGCAGCAAGAGCAGCAACAACAGCAGCAGCAGCAGCAGCCACAGCAGCAGCAACAGCTGCAGAATCAACAACAGCAGCAACAGCTGCAGCAACAGCAGCAGAAGCAACAGCAGCAGCAGCAGCAGCAACAGCAGCAGCAGCAACAGCAGCAGCAACAGCAACAGCAGCAGCAACAGCAACAGCAACAGCAACAGCAACAGCAACAGCAACAGCAGCAGCAGCAGCAGCAGCAGCAGCAGCAACAGCAGCAGCAACAACAGCAGCAACAGCAACAGCAACAGCAACAGCAACAGCAGCAGCAACAGCAACAGCAGCAGCAACAACAGCAGCAGCAGCAAGGAGTGCCTTTGGGTGTGAGTGGGTCTGTTCGCCTGGTTCCTGGTCAGATGGAGAAACAGCAGCAGCAGCAGCAACAGCAGCAGCAGCAGGCCGCATTCCCGGGGGGTTTGCATCATCAGGCCTTGCCAGGTCAGCGCCCACTGCAGCCACAGCAGGGGCAGCAGCAGGGGCGAATGCAGAGCCCAGCCCCTATTCCGAGTCAGCAGCAGCCGCTTCAGGCCAGGCAGCAGCCGCAGCCAGCGCAACAGCAGCAGCCACTACAGCAGCAGCAGCAGCAGCAGCAACAGCAGCCGCTGCAGCAGCAGAATCCTGAGGTAGACGCTGCAAACAGTGGTGCAGCTGCAACATCACTGGCAGCAGCACCAGCAGGGCTGGGAGGAGTGGTTGCAGGAACAGTGCCTTCTGTTGGCGGGCCGTCCCAACCCCATCTCTTGTCGCAAATCAAATCCGACCCGGATGCTAAGATCCTGCCTGAGAAAACCCCACCTCAGCAACAGCAGCAGCAGCAGCAGGGAGGGCTTGTTGGAGGTCCACACAGCCAACAGCAGCCGCAGTACAAACCAGGGTCACCCCCACCAGCAGCAGTAGCAGGAGTAGGAGCAGCACCAGGAGCAAAAACAGAAGGTGGAGCAGGAGCAGGAGGTGGAGCAGGAGGGTTTGCAGAGGAGCCATCGTCTCTCTCTGGCAACACAGCGCCTTACCAAGCGGCATCGGCCTTCATTCCCCCATCCTCAGGCCTCTACGAGCCAGACACGAGCAAGACGTCAGCAGCAGGGCAAGCAGGGGAGGGTGAGACAGGGGAAGGGGTGGCTGAGGGGGCGATTGAGGTGAAAGCGGAGGCTGGGGAGGGGGGTGAAACGGCGGTGGAGGAGAGGGAGGAGGAAGAGCCTATGGCGAGACTTTGCCGAGTGGTGAGTGGGTTGTTTTTGATTGGGTGTGTTCTTGAGCAACAGCCTGAGCTGACGCCTTGGCTCGTCGGCTTGGCTCGTCTGCTTGGCTCGTCGGCTTGGCTCGTCTGCTAGGCTCGTCGGCTTGGCTCGTCGGCTTGGCTCGTCAGCTGGGTCGATGAGACCCTCAAGAGGTGTGTCGTGAGACACTCAAGAGGTGTGTCGTGAGACCCTCAAGAGGTGTGTCGTGAGACCCTCAAGAGCTGTGTCGTGAGACCCTCGAGAGGTGTGTCGTGAGACCCTCGAGAGGTGTGTCGTGAGACCCTCGAGAGGTGTGTCGTGAGACCCTCGAGAGGTGTGTCGTGAGACCCTCAAGAGGTGTGTCGTGAGACCCTCAAGAGGTGTGTCGTGAGACCCTCAAGAGGTGTGCCGTGAGACCCTCAAGAGGTGTGTCGTGAGACCCTCAAGAGGTGTGTCGTGAGACCCTCAAGAGGTGTGTCGTGAGACCCTCGAGAGCTGTGTCGTGAGACCCTCGAGAGGTGTGTCGTGAGACCCTCGAGAGGTGTGTCGTGAGACCCTCGAGAGGTGTGTCGTGAGACCCTCAAGAGGTGTGTCGTGAGACCCTCGAGAGGTGTGTCGTGAGACCCTCAAGATGTGTGTCGTGAGACCCTCGAGAGGTGTGTCGTGAGACCCTCAAGAGGTGTGTCGTGAGACCCTCAAGAGGTGTGTCGTGAGACCCTCAAGAGGTGTGTCGTGAGACCCTCGGACGGGCTCGTAGCCAGCTTATTAAAGCTGATCCGATGCTGTTCGCCCCCAATCCGCCTCATTGGCCAATGATTACCGGGATCTCCTCCTAGCCGCCCACTTGCAAGCCGTGCTCGCCTATTGCCCCCTCTTGCCATCACCCCTCCCCCCCTTGTTGTGCCCTGACTCCTCTTGGCAGATGGACGCCTCATTCGCCAACGACCGCCGGGATCTGCTCCTAGCAGCCGCCCACATGGAGGCTCTTCTCTAGTGCCCCCCTCTTAATGCAGTCTCAAGGCTTGTGCCCCCCTTGCAATCACCCCTACCAGATGGACGCCTCATTGGCCCACGACCGTCGGGATCTCCTCCTAGCAGCCGCCCACATGCAAGCCGTGCTCGCATGCTCCGACCGCCTTGCCACGTCAGCACCCCTCGCCGGCTCCCGAGGCGCGCTCGGCGAGGACCTATCAGCAACCGCCAGCTCACGCCTGCTCGCTGACTGGATGGCCCTTAACTCCCTCACCTTCCCGGCAACTTCCTCCTCTTGGCCCCACGAGCGTAGGGATCTCCCTGTGATATCAGCTGGTGCTGACGCTGGCCTTGCTGCTGCTGCTGCTGCTGCTGCTGCCGGTGCTGCCGGTGCTGCTTCTGCCGGTGCTGCTGCTGCCGGTGCTGCTGATGCTGCTGGTGGCAGTGTGGGGTGGAGCAGCAGGAGGGTGGTATCGGTGACAGCGAGTGTGGTAGACCATCAGGGCACCGTCACCAGCAGCGCTGTGCATGCAGGGGCAGGGGGGGGCGCGAGACGGGCTTTAAGTGCTGGTGGTGGCTACGGGGAGGGCGAGGAGCTGAGTGGTGGCAATCTGGGCGATAGGGAGGTGAAGGAAGAGAGGAACTGGGGGTCGTATGAGGAAGACGAGGAGGAGGACGAGGAGGAAGAGGATGAGGAGGAGGAAGAGTGGGAGGAGGAGTGGGAGGAGGAGGGGGGTGGAGGGGTGGGGGATGGGCCGTGGCTGGTGTCTCGATCGCAGGCTGCAGCGGCGCTGTTCCCTCCGAGGAAGAGAGTGAGGAGAGAGGTGAGTGGAGGGATTTGGGTGGAACGGTGAGTGGAGGGATTTGGGTGGAACGGTGAGTGGAGGTGGGAATGGCATGGTGAGTGGAGGTGGGAATGGCATGGTGAGTGGAGGTGGGAATGGCATGGTGAGTGGAGGTGGGAATGGCATGGTGAGTGGAGGTGGGAATGGCATGGTGAGTGGAGGTGGGAATGGCATGGTGAGTGGAGGTGGGAATGGCATGGTGAGTGGAGTGGAGGTGGGAATGGCATGGTGAGTGGAGTGGAGGTGGGAATGGCATGGTGAGTGGAGGTGGGAATGGCATGGTGAGTGGAGGTGGGAATGGCATGGTGAGTGGAGGTGGGAATGGCATGGTGAGTGGAGGGATTTGCTGTGAGAAGGGATGTGCTTGCTGACATCAGCATGCATCTGCTGACATCAGCATGCATCTGCTGACATTAGCCAGAGCAAACCTGGAGTCGCTGACATCAGCATGCATCTCTTAATGTGGGTAGCGACTCCAGGCGGTGGAGGCCCTTTTCCCTCGCAGGAAGCGCATGAGAGAGGTGCGAGGAGGGAGGGAGGGAGGGAGTCAGATGGCGACTGCCATTCTCCCTCATTTCTAGCTCTCACTTCTTGCTCTCATCCCGTCCCCACAATTTCTCCCTCTCATTTCTCCCTCTCATCTCTCCCTCTCATCTCTCCCTCTCGTCTCTCCCTCTCATCTCTCCCTCTCATCTCTACCTCACATCTCTCCCTCTCATCTCTCCCTCTCATTTCTCCCTCTCATTTCTCCCTCTCATCTCTCCCTCTCATCTCTCCCTCTCATCTCTCCCTCTCATCTCTCCCCCTCGTTCCTTCGTCTATGTGCTCCCTGCTTCACCACTGCACCTACACCCCCCGGTGCCATCAGCTCAACGCCACGCTCACATGGGAGGCGCAGCGGCTGAATGAGGAGATGATTCACACGAGTGTGGAGGTCAGCGCGAGGGAGACGAGGATGGTGCCTCATTGCTGCCGTGCTTCCTCTCATTTCTCCCTCTCCTTTTCCCTCTCTCTGCCGCCTGCAATCAGCTCAACGCCACGCTCACATGGGAGGCGCAGCGGCTGAACGAGGAGATGATTGACACGAGTGTGGAGGTCAGCGCGAGGGAGACGAGGAGAGCGCACGTCCTGGGGAAGGATGGCGATGCAGTGCTGCTGCGTTTTGACATTCCCTCGGTACGTGTTTTGCAGTGCTGCTGCGTTTTGACATTCCCTCGGTACGTGTTTTGAGTCGACTCTAAACGAGACCAGCAGAGCGCACGCCCTGGGCAAGGATGGCGCTGCTGTGCTGCTCTGCTGCATTGCTGCTCTGCTGCATTTTGACATTCCCTCGGTACGCACTCCCACATTCCCTTCTGAGAATGCTGAAAAATGCCAAGGATGGTGTCGCAGAGCTGCTGCACTTCCGCACTCCTTTGCTCAGTTGATGCGTTTCCTAAGCCGTGCGCTTGGAAGTAGTTTGAGCCTGCTCACAAGTTGCACACTACGGTGACACATGCTTTGCCTGCATGAAAGCTCCTCTGGTCACACCTTGCCCCGGTAGGGCTTTCATGAAAGCCCCACTGCTCGTGCCATGAATGACACGTTGTTTTTCCAGACCACCTTCCAGGTCACGAGCTAATGAGCAACCCTCTTCCCTCCCTCCCTCAATTCCCCCTGCCGCCCTGCAATGCCTCCACTCCACTCCACAGGTGGCCATTCCCTTCCCTCCTCTCCGCCTGCTAGTCCCCAGCTCCTACCCGCACTGCTCGCCTCAGCCATGGCCCTTCCAAGCCCACCCACACACCAGGTGATGGTGATGTTACAACCATGCGAGCAGCCGTTGTCTGCTCTGCTCCTGCCACCTGCTCTGCTCGTGCCACATGTGTTCCTCCACCCTCCAACACATTCCCAATGGTCCACACCACGATGCTTTCGGCCGCTTCAATAGATTGTAGAGCCATGCAGGCATCCAAAAGCCTAACCGACGCTGAGATTTGTGCTGTACTGATGAAGGCCCTCAAGGTGCTGTGCTGTCAAGGTGACCCTATAGATTGTAGAGCCATGCAGGCATCCGTAAGCCTGACCGACGCTGAGAGTGCCAGTTGACTTTTGAGTCAACTCAAAAGTCAACTCAGTAGATTGTAGAGCTGTGCAAGCATCCAAAGGCTTAAACTTTGATGCAGACAGCCATGGCTAACCATGGGTCGAGAGCACACAGCCTCGCTCTTATCTCCCTTTCCTCAACTCCCTGCTGCAGATCTCCCTTGCTTCACGAATCACTATGCTATGGACCGCTTTACCACAGCCATGCGAGGAGCCAAGCCAAGCCATGGCCATTTCATGAAATTTTTTGAAAGTGTGTAACTTGCAGTTCCACTCCCCACCCACCCACCCTAGTCGTATACGCAACTTGTATAATCTATTTGGACAAGAATGTTGTAATTACTGCAATTGTAATGAAGCACGATGCCTTTGCAAGAACAGAAAGCAAGCTTTCTCAATATGGATTTTACCATAACTCTTCCTCCCCACTCCCGTCCTTACCTTTCCGCTCCGTTCTTCCCCTGCCCATTACAGATCACCCGTTTTACCAGAGGCATGTGGGCTGCTAAGGGCCCTCTTACACTGACAGCCATGGCTAGGGCGTGGGACGAGCACATAGACCCACTCTTCACTCCCGCTCTTCCCATTCTTCCCCTGCCCGCTACAGATCACCCGTGGTTCAAGACTCCATGGACCGTTTTACCAGAGCCATGCGGGCTGCTAAGGGCCCTCTCACACTGACAGCCATGGCTAGGGCCTGGGACGAGCATGCACGGGCGGCAGTCATGCATGTGCTGGCGGCGTCTGCTCCCCCCAATGCCTGCTGGCATGCTGTGGTTGGTCCGTGGCATGAGTGTGCTGCTGATGTGGCACATGGCTAGGTGATTCTCAAGCACCTGATTCGTGTCGGCGTGTCTTTTCTGTTGTATATGATGTTGCCGAGGAAGAAAATATGATGGTCGAAGAAATATAATATGTCTATAATCCCAGTGCAGAAAGCTGTGTGATTTGGTTTGGTTGAGTGTTATTTCGGTATGCAGAGCAGGCAAAGCAAACCCTTCATAACTTAATGGATGTTAATCTACATGTAGAGGCACAAGTACCACAGCTCGTGGTGTACCCTTTTTCTCTAAACACATAGCGAAAGCAAAAGAATCGGATGGACTCGGGCAAGACGGTTACGTACGGATTGCACGGACGCCTGGGCAGCACAAATCGTCGAAGACATTTCGCATGAACCTTCGTCCGTCTTTACTTCCCTCGGCGGCAGCCGAGTCAGGAAGCTCAGCGAATCAGCTTCGCCATCTCCACGACCCCGCAATTTCTGCGTCACCTGGTTGGGCAATTTTCGTGGCAGCCGTTCGCTTTCCCCACCTCATATTGGTATTGATGGCTGCAAATTTCTCCTCGTCGCAGGCTTCGCGAGAAGTTACTAAGGCTGTCTGATGCCACGTACTTGCGAATTTCGCCCAATGTCGGTGCTGGGAGCAATGAGCTCAACTGTGGGCAAATGCCTCACTTCATTAGGCCCCAGCGGCGGCTCGATTTCACCCTTCACGCGGCTCGACCAAATCTTGGTTGTGCTCAAAAGGCCCATCTTGATCGCACCAATTTCACATTCGAGCTCCACAAAACCTCGCTGGGCTGAGGCAACTACCTACCAGAGCAGCAGCAGCGTCAACAACTCCGTCAGCTTCACTTCGTTACTGCCACGACGTGTCCCGCCCACCTCCATTTCATTTCATCCCCTCCCACTACCTTCCGTCGATATCGCTAGCGAACAATCGCGTCCAATCAAGGTTCTATCATACCCGAGAATCAATCGTCATCATGGCTGCTGCTGCTTTATTGAGAAACCATCGTGCAACTCGAAGGTTGCTGGGACATCCCGCATATCAGACAACATTACGATTCGCCTGCTACACCAATGTGGTAAGAGATCCACCTGTTTTAGACCCCATCCATTAAAAAAATGCTTTTTGCAGCATTTTTTACTTCCGCCGTGGTAGTAATGCCGGGTCTTATTTCTTCTCGCTGCAGCTCGAGAGCACTGGGAGGATCGGGGCACTTCGGAACGCCACGTCAGCATCCATTTTCGCTCCCGCGGCGCGCATCGGCTCCACTTCAGGCGAGGCTTCCAAGCCAGTGTCGCGAGCAGCCTACTGGAGCGTCTCTCACGCGTCAACCACAGCGGCGGCTACGGCGGCGCCTAGCGCGATGATTGGCCAGCAGTGGACTACACAGCAGCCGAGTTTTGGCGGTGTAACTGCTGCGAGCTCGACGATTGAACGGTTCAAGATGCAAATCCGCCCGCATAACACAGCGACAGCTCGAATCGTCGAAGAAGAGCCAGGGGATCACGCACACAGCAGCAAGGTAAACGACATGATTGAATGACTATGTTTGTCTTACAAACGCCTTTTGTCAAAGTACGTCTCTCTTGGCTGTCGTCGTCTGAAACTTCAACAAAAACATGCAATATTTGCAGCCTCGCTAATAACGCTGGTTTGCTTTCTGGCGTGCAGCCAAAGGCACAAAACGAGCCTCCAGTAGACATGAAGAAGATTGCACTGGATCCGGAAGCGCTTTCCCAGTATTGGGGAATCAAGCCCAAGCAGTACCTGCGTGAGGATGGCACGCCCTGGCCCTGGAATTCCTTCCGGGTGAGTGATTTGTTGTGATGAAAAATATGAAGATTGGGGTACAGATATTGTTAGGAGAAAATAGCGTTAATGTTACTAATTGAATGTACATATGATTTGTGGGCTTGTTCAGCTTTGTATCCTTGATATTGAGTCACTCACCGTTTTCGTTTGGTGATGTGCGCAGCCCACGGACAGCTACACCGCTAACCGAAAGACGGAACTTGACAGGCACTTTCCGGTTACCGGATTCGGTGACGCTTTCGCCAAGTACCTCGTGAAGTCGCTCCGCTTCCCCACCGACCTTTTCTTCCAGGTGTTTGCTCTGCTCTGCAACGCTCCGCACTTCGTTTATGTTACCAGATTCCCCCTAGGACGTCATCGCTCTCTTGTTCCTTGCCTTCTATTTCTTTGCTCTGCTGCTGCATACGCATTTGTCAATTTTCCAGTTACTCCGCTCGTCTGGTTTATTTTTCTCTATGTTTCTCTATTCCTCGTCGGCCATTTCCTCCCGTCGCGCAACACTCCACCGCGCGGAAACGGCACAGCTGCCGCGCGATGGTGCCGGAAACGAGGTGACTTCCACCTCAAACTCAAAATCCACCCTCCTCCCCTCCCCTCACCCCTCTGCACCGCACAGAAACGGTACGGATGCCGCGCGATGATGCTCGAAACCGTCGCGGCGGTGCCGGGGATGGTGGCGGGCGTGCTGCTGCACATGCGCTGCCTGCGCCTCGTGGAGAACAGCGGCGGGTGGATCCGCGCGCTCCTGGAAGAGGCGGAGAACGAGCGCATGCACCTCATGACCTTCATGCAGGTCTCGCAGCCGACCTGGTTCGAGCGCGGACTCATATTCACTGTTCAGGTGAGCCCTCCATTCAGGTAACCTATTTGTTCCGATCAGCCGAAGAGGAGCCTACAGTGCCTCCTCACTGCGCGCGCGCGCGCTGCTGGAGGAGGCGGAGAACGAGCGCATGCACCTTCATGCACGTCTCGCAACCCACGTGGTTCGAGAGTGGACGCATCTTCACCGTTCAGGTAAGCTATCCATTCACAGTTCCGTATCGGTTTACCTTCTTGGAAGTTTCACTCTAGTGGTTCGTACTTGAATCCGTTTTCCGCAACTCCGTCTTTCCCCCTATCAACCCTTGTGTACCACACTAACAGAGCGGGTTCGCTGCAGTGTACGGCCTTGTCTACCTCCTCTCCCCGCGCATCGCGCACCGCATCGTGGGCTACCTGGAAGAAGAGGCGGTGCACTCATACACGCAGTACCTCGAGGAGATCGATGAGGGCCGCATCGCCAACGTGCCGGCGCCGCAGATTGCCATCGACTACTGGCAGCTGCCTCAAGACGCGACGCTGTATGACGTGGTGCTGTCGGTGCGGGCGGACGAGGCACACCACCGCGACGTGAACCATTATGCTGCGGTGAGTGGGGAGACATGGGCGTGGGGTTACCTGGTTACCACATTGGAGTGAGATTGCCATCGACTACTGGCAGCTGCCTCAAGACGCGATACTGTATGACGTGGTGCTGTCCGTGCGGGCTGATGAGACACACCACCGAGACGTGAATCACTACGCTGCGGTGAGTCAGGGAGTGTGGTTACCTGGTTACCATGCTCCACCACATTGCGATTGGCTTCTGGCAGGAAGCTGTTTAGGGATGAGACGCTTATTGAACCAGTGCGTGACGGTGAGTTTGAGATACGGTATTGGTTGGAGTAACCACGACTCTGGTAACCAGTTGGAGTCACCAGTTCTGGCATCTGCATTGCTTGTGAAGCCCCACGGCCATAGCCCCTAGGTTCTTATGCCTCTCAAACTTAAACTCCCGGCAATCTTTCCCGCATCCTGAATCCCCATCCCCTGTGGCAGACCATTATCAAGGCAGGCAAGCATCTCAAAGAGCACCCAGCCCCACTGGACTACCACTAACATGCTGCTGTGCTGATACAGCTTGGATACTTTGCTTGCTACACCATTCTCTCTGCATCCCACTGCCTGCTGTTTATATTCTCCATTCCACTTTCCACTTGGGACAATCTTCAGAATTGAGTAAGTGGTATCCAGCTGCAGTAAGCTTCATAAATTGAAGGTTCAGTTGCATGTAGTACCTATCAGAGGACTAAGCTTGTCGAATGGGATTTGGGATATACGTTTTATGTTTTTGACCTATGGAGTTCTTGGGAGGGTAAGATTATTCTTGTTTATTTCCGTGTGGAGTAATTCATTTACATTACTTATGGTATTTAACTTCTTGGAGCGGTTGAACCAGGCAGAAATTGTGACGTGAAATGGATATGTATCACTACGTAAGGAAAATTCCTTTTCCTTACTCCGCGTCCTTGCTCAGCGCGTACACCACTGTTCCCGCGAACAGCACCCCACAATAATCCGTTACCACTCGCGACATTCGCCTCGACCCCATTCCCGCCACTGTTTACGATGCGACCCAACCTCACGGTTCGGTTGGTAACCCACGCTCCGGACCTCCACCTCGACATTCCCCAATCTCGGCACCAGGCCCGTCGCGCACCCCATTTTCCACACGTTACCGTCACCAACCACTGTAGCTTCGCTATATATTCTTCGCTCAAAACCTTCGCTCGTTGTATCTTGCCTCGATAGTGCAATCCTCGCTCGCTCACTCCATTGCACTCGTAACACTTGGTTATCAGAGCCTACGATCTTCTCTCGGACCGCACCCACACCTTCGCTTCCCCACTATCTCAATTTTTTGGGGGGGGGTAGACGTCTCTCAGCGACCAGGCACCGCCGCTTGTAGTGCTCTCTCATAAGCACGCACGGCCACGACAGAGGCTCTCGCTGAGCTTGCCCGACACCCCCGCCATGGCTGAAATCACTCTCGCGACACTGACGCAAGCGCAGCTCGACCGTCTTGTACGCCAACTCGAAGATTCGGCCCTCGAAATTGCCACATTCACGGCGGAACGCGACTCCGCTCGCCAGCAATCAACAGTGAATGCACCAGCACCAACAAATGTACCTGCACAATCCGAGGAGCCGATCATCACCTCGTCAGGCACACCGACGCAGAACAACAGTGTGGGACAGCGCTCATGAGTAGCCAGTGAGGGCGCCGCTCACTCAATTGTGGAAATGAGGAACGAGAATGGGTGAACTATGAAATGAAGTGAGTACAAATAGGAAACCCTAATTGGGTTGTACCCCCTATGGGATACCCCACTATAGCCTACACAACAGCATAAGCTATATAATGTTCTGACACACCCCCATAGGCAAAGTGGGGGAGAACAAGGGGTCACAAGACCAGTCAAGCAAAGCAGAGCAAGCTCAGGGTGGATCACAAAGTCACCACACAGTCCGAGCACAACGACAAGGCCACAAGGCCAGTTCACATGCAGGAGTACACATATATATATAGAGCTAGACAAGCAAGAGCAGGTATATATATGTAACAGTACAAGCAAGGTCAAGAAGAGAGCAAGTGAGGCAAGACAGGTACAAGACCCAGCTGGGTGCAGAAGCGCTGATGGTCACAAGGCGCAAGTGCCTTGGTGAACACATCAGCAGTGTTGGCCTCAGAGGCCACGTAAGCAAGTCGCAACTGACCACGCTGCTGCAGCTCACGAGCAAGAAAGTAACGGAGAGCAATGTGCTTCGTTCTGTGCTCCAAGCGCTGCTCTCGACACAAGGCCAGCATGGCCTTGTTGTCTACGTACAGCACTGGAGGAGAACGAGGCGGCTCTCCAAGGTCAGTCAGCAGGTAGGTGAGCCAGCGAAGCTCCTGTGCAGCCATGGCCCCGGCGTAGATCTCAGCCTCACAACTGGAGCTGAGAACAGAGGACGAGCGAGTAGCCCGCCACGAGACAGAGCCGGAACCAAGACTGAAGGTGTAACCCTGCGACGACCGCTGTGTAGCCTGGTCGTCTGCCCAAGAAGCGTCTGCGTGCCCAGTGAGGACCACTGGACTCCGCCCTCCAAGCACTAGCCCCATGCCCGACGTACTGCACAAGTAGCGCAACACCCTCTTCGCTGCAGCCATGTGCTCTGGTCGGTGTCTCCCAGGAGCAACATAGCGTGCAAGAATGCTAAGAGGGTATGCAAGGTCAGGTCGTGTGCAGGTCATCAGGTACATGAGGCAGCCAACAAGCTCTGGGTACGGGCCACTCGACTCTACGGACTCATCCGAAGGCAGAGCTGAGAGCGAGTGGCGAGTAGACAGAGGAGTGGCCTGAGGCGAGGAGTACGTGAAGCCGAAGCGCTGAAGGACCTGCTGCACCATGTGTGACTGAGTCAAGGTAATGGTGCGGCGTGCTCTGTCCCGAGTGATCTGCAAGCCAAGGTAGCTGCGCAGTTCACCCAGGTCTGTGCACGTGTGTCTCTTCTGCAGCTCGGACTTCACGTAGGCTAGTCCAGCAGTGTCAGCTGTGGCAAAGACCAAGTCGTCGACGTACACGAGGACGTAGAACGGCGGCAAAGAAGTGTCGGTGCGCAGAAACAACGACGGGTCAGCAGTAGAGGGAGCAAACCCAAGAGCCGCAAGCGTAGTCCTCAGTGTGTCGTGCCACTCACGCGGTGCCTGGCGGAGACCGTAGACTGGCCGTCGGAGGCTCCACTGGGTGCCAGGAGGAAAAGTCCCAGTGAAGCCAGGTGGACGGCGCAGCCAGATCTCCTCGTGCAGGCTACCCTGCAAGAAAGCAGTACTGAAGTCAAGAGAGTGGAGCTCGTAGTCGCGCTGAGCGGCTATGTGCAGCAGCACCCGAAGAGTGGTCATCTTCGGGGTGGGAGAGAAGGTCTGAAAGTAGTCAACTCCCTGCCGCTGACTGAAGCCACGAGCGACGTACCGTGCCTTGAAGACAGGTGGAGAGCCCGGCGGCCGCTTCACCCTGAAGATCCACATGCCACTGACGATGTTCGCCCCAGGAGGGGGAACCGCGTCAACGTAGGTGCCTGTGGACTTCCAGGACGCCATCTCTGCATCCATAGCTGCCTGCCACTGAGAGGAGTAGGGACCCTCTACGGCCTCCGCGTAAGAGCGCGGAGTCGGGATGTCTAGTGCATCCGGGTCTCCCTCAGGGGCAAGTAGTACGGACGCGAGATGAGGTGAAGCAGCAGCCAGACACCGGAACTCCTCCTGCCTGTCCTCAAGGACGTCCGTGCCAAGAGCACACTCACCCCCGACGGACGGAGGACAGACAGACGCAGACTCAGCAACAAGACCGGCAGCGTAGTCTAGACGACAGCGAGCAGCAAAGTCGACGAGCTCAGCAACAAGTGCAGACGCAGCAGTGGACTCAAAAGAGGGGTCAGTGACGACAGTAGCAAGGAGACGTGTGACAGCAGGACTGGCAGCACGAAGAGAGTCCGACTCCGGGTCAGGAAGAGCAGGAAGAGAGGACTCAGGAGGAGAAGGCAAAGGGGCACGCAGAGGAGCAGTGGACGGACGCAGAGACATCCGGTGCGTGCCAGGGACAGGAGGAGGACGCTGACGCGAACCACGACCACTAGTGCGAGCAGCACGGACAGGCGACGCAGGACGAGACGCAGGCTCACGACGCTCAGCAAGACCTCCAGTAGGACCAGTGTAGGGAGAAGGAGCGGGCAGTGGGGAGGCCGGCTGTAACTGGAACTGTGACAGGACAGGCTGTGGACACTCTAAGGGAGGAGGAGGACCAGTAGAAGGCGGGAGACCAAGAACCTGCTGAAGGAGCGGAACGAAGTACGGTCTAGGCCGCGAGGCGACTCCAGACACAGCAGGGACAGCACCAGTACCCCAAGCGGGAGCACCAGCGCCAGCAGCACCTCCAGCTCCAGGACCTCCAGCAGCACCAGTAGCACCCCCAGCAGGACCGCCTCCAGGACCGACAGCAGTAGCCTCAGCGCCAACACCCTCAGCAGCTCCAGCTCCAGCACCTCCGGGACCCGCGGCACCAGCACCCTCAGTAGCCGAAGAACCTCCAGCTCCAGCAGCACGCCTCCAGCGCCGGGCAAACCACTCACGCAGCTCCTGTGGAGAGAGGGGCTCCCGCCGAGGCGAAGCACCCGGAGAACCGCCAGGTCCCGCACCGCCAGACGCCACAAGGGGAGGTCCAGTGGCCGCAGGCTCCGCAGCTCCAGGCTCAGCACCTCCAGACGCAGCACCCCCTGGCTCAGCACCCCCAGTAGCAGCACCCCACGGCTCAGTACCCCCAGACTCCGCACCCCCAGGCTCAGCACCCCCAGTCGCAGTACCCCCAGGCTCAGCACCCCCAGACTCAGCACCCCCAGGCTCAGCACCCGCAGCAGGACCAGAGTCACCAGCAACCTCGACCGGCTCGACTGCGTCTACCTGGGACACACCTGAAGGGGCAGGACCCTGAGGGGGAAGGGGGTCTACCGGGGGGGGACCTGGCACAAGGAAGTGCGGTGGCGGGGGGAGGGAAGGAGTGCGGTAGGGGAAGAGGCGGTAGAAGGGGACTGACTCGTCGAACGTGACGTCCTGGGAGGACAGA